ACAATCAAACTACACATAATCATTTTTTGATTGGGTGACCTTTTAGATTAGGGTTAATAATGTCTAATTAGGTTGTTGTACCAAGAATATTGGGTTGAGAACTTTGAGGATTTCAAATAATAAAACCAAGCTAGAGTTTTCCTTCAAGATCATTGAGGATTTGATGGTTTTGGACAAGATTATGCAATTCAGATCTGATCGAGTGAAAGCCTTGGGACAAAGGGAGCCATGCAAGGGAATAACGTGAGACGGTGGATCGTGTTGGTAATTCTTAGGTTTCAACAAGTGTGCGCTTGTGATTAATTCAATCGGATGAAAGCCTACGGACAATGAGATCCTTGCAAGGAAGTAGCAATAATATGTGAATTTAAGCGACATTGTTGTTTAACAAGTGTGCGCTTGATATTAATTAAGCTGGGTGAAAGCCTTAGAACAAGGGGTTTCTTGCAAGGAAGTAGCAAGAACAGGTGAATTGAAGCGACATTGTTGGTTACTTGATCAAATCTTTGATCAAGGGTTTTAGAGGTAGTAGAATCAACAACAAACATAGGGTTTGTAGGGTTATAGTTCTTCATCTCTTGTATACACACATAGCGAGACCGATTAGAGAACTGTATAAACAAATCCTTGTGTCCTCTCTCTCTCGATTAGGGAACTGCATAAACAAATCCTTGTGTCCTCTCTCTCTCTCTCTCTCTCTCTCTCTCTCTCTCTCTCTCTCTCTCTCTATATATATATATATATATATATATATATATATATATATATATATATATATATATATATATATATATATATATATATATATATATATATATATATATATATATATATATATATATATATATATATATATATATATATATATATATATATATATATATATATATATATATATATATATATATATATATATATATATATATATATATATATATATATATATATATATATATATATATATATATATATATATATATATATATATATATATATATATATATATATATATATATATATATATATATATATATATATATATATATATATATATATATATATATATATATATATATATATATATATATATATATATATATATATATATATATATATATATATATATATATATATATATATATATATATATATATATATATATATATATATATATATATATATATATATATATATATATATATATATATATATATATATATATATATATATATATATATATATATATATATATATATATATATATATATATATATATATATATATATATATATATATATATATATATATATATATATATATATATATATACCCCTCTCTCTATCTATATATTTATCTATCTCTCTCTATATCTCTCTTTCTCTCTATCTATCTATCTATCTATCTATCTATCTATCTCCCTCACACTCGCTCTCTCTCTATCTATCTATCTATCTATCTATCTATCTCTTTCTCTCTCTATCTATCTATCTATCTATCTATCTATCTATCTCTTTCTCTCTCTATCTATCTATCTATCTATCTATCTACCCACCTCTCTCTCTCTCTCTCTCTCTCTCTCTCTCTATATATATATATATATATATATATATATATATATATATATATATATATATATATATATATATATATATATATATATATATATATATATATATATATATATATATATATATATATATATATATATCTATTTATCTATCTATCTATCTATCTATCTATCTATCTATCTATTTATATATTCGTTCGTCCGTCCATCCATCCGTCTGTCCGTCCATCTGTCCATCCATCCGTCCATCCGCCCGTCCGTCTGCCCATCAATTCGTCTGTCCATCTGTCCGTCCATCCATCCGCTCGTCCGTCTATCTGTCTGTTCTTCTGTCTGTTCGTCCGTCCGTCCATCTGTTCGTCTGTCCGTTTGTCCGTCTGTCCGTCCGTCCATCCATCCATCCACCTGTCCATCCATCCATCTATCCATCCGTCCGTCCGTCCATCCGTCCGTCCATTCGTCCGTCCATCCATCCATCCGTCCGTCCATCCATCTATCCATCTATCTGTTCGTCCCTCCGTCCATCCATCCATCCATCCGTCCGTCTATCTGTCCATCCATCCATCCATCCATCCATCCATCCATCCATCTATCCGTCCATCCATCCGCCCATCCATCCATCCATCCGCCCGTCCCTCCGTCCATCCATTCATCCGTCTGTTCGTCCATCCATCCACCCATCCGTCCATCCATATATCCGTCCATCCATCCGTTCATCCGTCCATCCATCCATCTGCCAGTCCCTCCGTCCATCCATTCATCCGTCTATCCATCCATCTGTCTATCCGTCCATCCATCCATCCATCCATACGTCCATCTATCCATCCATTTATCCATCTATCTATCCATCCATCTATCCATCCATTCATCCATCTATCTATCTATCTATTTATCTATTTATACATCTATCTATCCGTCTATCCATCTATCGATCTATTTATCTATCCATATATCTATCTATCCATCTATATGTCTGTCTATCTATCCATCTATCTATCTATCTATCCATCTGTTTATCTATCTATCTATCTATCTATCTATATATCTGTCTGTCTGTCTGTCTCTCTATCTATCTATCTGTCTGTCTATCTATATGTTTACCTATCTATCTGTCTATCTATCTATCTGTCTGTTTGTCTATCTATCTGCCTATATGTCTATCTATCTCTCTAGTTGTCTATCTGTCTGTCTACCTATTTGTCTATCTGTCTATCTATATGTCTATCTGCCTATCTGTCTATATGTCTATCTATCTTCCTATCTGTTTATCTATCTGTCTATTTGTCTGTCTGTTTATCTGTCTATCTATCTATCTGTCTATCTATCTATTTGTCTATCTGTCTATCTATCTATCTATCTATCTATATATCTATTTATCTATCTATCTATCTATCTATCTATTTATCTATCTATCTATCTGTCTGTCTATCTGTTTGTATGTCTATCTATCTATTTATTTATCTGTCAATCTATCTATCTATATATTTTCCTATCTATCTATCTATCTATCTATCTATCTGTCTCTCTATCTGTCTATCCGTGTTTCTATCTATCTGTATATCTGTCTATTTGTTTGTTTATCTGTCTGTCTATCTGTCTATCTATATGTCTATCTATCTGTCTATCTGTTTGTCTATCTATCTGTCTATCTATCTATTTGTCTATCTGTCTGTCTATCTATCTATCTATCTGTCTGTGTATTTGTCTTTCTATCTATCTGTATATCTGTCTATTTGTCTATCTATATGTCTATATATCTGTCTATTTGTCTGTCTATCTATCTGTCTGTCTGTCTATTTGTCTATCTATTTGTCTGTCTATCTGTCTTTATATCTATCTGTCTATCTATCTTTCTGTCTGACGGTATGTATGTCTGTCCGTCCGTCTGTTTGTCTGTCCGTCTGTCTGTTTGTCTGCCTATCTATCTATATATATATATATATATATATATATATATATATATATATATATATATATATATATATATATATATATATATATATATATATAGATAGATAGATATATAGATATATGTGTGTGTGTGTATATATACACAGACACACAGACACAGAGACACACACGCACGCACTCACGCGCTCACACACACACACGCACACACGCACGCACGCACGCACACACACACACACACACACGCCGCGCACGCACACACACACACACACACACACACACGCACACGCACACGCACACGCACACGCACACGCACACGCACACGCACACGCACACGCACACGCACACGCACACACACACACACACACACACACACACACACACACACACACACACACACACACAGATATATATATATACGACTTTTGTGTTAGGGCGACATTCATGACAAGAAAAACACATCATCCTTCTTTTTCTTTTTGTTTGGTAGGAATTCCATCACTTTCAAGAATTGAAGGTTTTTCTTTCATATTTTATTTAGCTTGATAGTATTGAACAAGGCATAAGTCTCATCCAATCCTTTATCTATTTCTCCTCTTTTATCAGCCTTGTTAATAGGTGTATGACTATTGAATATCTTTTAGGTTGATATCTAAGTCTGAACAAATTAATGAAATTGAAACTTCCTCCAAAACAATACAACCTTCATCTTGCATTCTTGCTCTTGTCCCACATATAATTTCCACCTTGTATTTCTTTATCAAATGGCATGCACTTTTCTTCTTCTTTCTCTTTTTCAATTTCACCTTCACTGACTACCTCACATTTTGTTTTAATTATCTTTTAGTTTCCTTATCTCTGGAACTATTTAAAAAATTTCCATCCAACTAGCCACTAGAACTCAGTTTTAGTACTAATTAGATAGATGATAGACCAAAATTTGAATTTTTTTATAATTTCCAATGACTTGTTTAACCCTACATTAATTGTTTATTATACTTGAAGTACCAACTCAGTTGTAAATATTTAATTTGTAATTTTAAAATATCAAATTTAAACCTCCTCAAAGCAAATGTAAAATGATTACCAATAATATTTTAACTAACCAATAAGTTAATATAGATGAGGCCGGAAATCAACAGTTTAGTGTATTTATTCCTATTTATTTACATTAATTTATTTAAAGAAAATAACTATTTTATTATTTCTCAAAAATGAAATTGAATTTGAAACAAACATGCTTTTGACCTTTTATATCTAAACTAAAGACGGTGTAGTAGGACTGTGAAAAACAATAATTATAAATAGAAGATAACAGGTTAAGTAGGGTGTAGGGAGTACAACATTGTAAGATATGAAAAACAAAGTCCTAGAAACTTCACAGATGCATGCAAATTTGCAAGTTGAAAGATGAAACTACATCAATGAACAAATGCCAAAAATACTAACACAGGCCATAAAGTGAAAGTCCAAAACTATCAGAATTTACAGACAAAATCAAATCACCAGTTGGTTTTATCAATCATTAATCTTCCTCAAGCATGGTGAAATCCTCTACATCAGTTTCTTTGTTGTTCATTTTTCGCATTTCATCGATATCCACAGCCAACGATGGATCCTGTATCAGCACATTTGCATCCAAGACTTTTGGACAACCTAGTACACAATGATTTGGTTAAAAAGCAATGCAATGGTGGCATAAAATTAATGTCAAGGTTATTAAAAAACAACTATATACCCGGTATAGGGCATCGAGTACGGTTATTCTTTGACTGTATATATTGCATTATCACCTGCTTTTCATAAATGTGCCTACATTGCATGCTGCATCAATGAAACAGAGAATAAGTGACAAGCATAATAATATATACTATCAATATCAATATCCAAATACATTCACAAGATAGTCCACAAAACATGTGTTTCAGTGCAAACACATAAACTTGCAGTAATATTTTGTCCCAAGCTAATAAAAAACAAGTTAAACATTGATACTAACCATTAGTTATCGGTTTGTTTTGGCCACATTGTTTTGTTTATGTGTGGTGTCTATTGAGTTTTGGTTTAGTCTAGGAGTTAAGTCAACATTCCATTTTAGGTAGAAAATTCAGTTTGTTAACTAACTGTAACCATCTCTGTTACGGCAGTTGGTTAGCTAACTTAGGTTATAAGTAGTTTGTTGCTTGAACATGGCTAGTTTCTCATTTATATCTAGATCACAATTCCTTCGACTTGTAAACTCAAGAGGAAAAACCTGAAACTTGTGTAGAGAGATTGTATTCCTCAAAATAAAGGAAGACCATTAAGAAAAGTGGCTACCGTGGACTAGACCTAAAGCACATTGCTTTAAGATTGAACAACGTAAATTCTCTGGTACTTTTTTTACCGCTTTCTGTTTTTTCAATTTGTTTGAATATTGTTCTTTGTTTGTCTTGCAGTCTTCCCAATCACTTCTTTGATTGTAAAAGAAAGATTTAAACCAATTGATCTATGGTGATTTATGAGAATTATCCCAACAACATCTGTTTAGTTCCTATAATGTATCTTTGACTGCTTCTGATTATGGGCACGCCTTATGCTAGAATAGTTTTATTAATATAACTTTTTGGCTTTTTAAAAAAAATATAAAAAAAAACTATATCCCTCACCATCAAGGTTTGATCATAGATGTCTTGTATTTCAAGAAATTACATTGTTTATTCATGTTTCCACTCATCTTATCAGTCCAGTTGGTTCCGAAATCTATACAGCATCTTCATGTGCATCGGAATTTTTGTTTTTTCTATCAGTGGTGAAATTCATGGCAATATAGACTATGCTCAGAGTTTATTTCTAGTGGTGTATTTGTATTATCAATAGTTTTGTTGTCTCTCATGGCTTACCTAGTTACTAACTCAGTATTTAAGCGGTTGTTTATCAACCATGTCATAAAGCATTATCATCATTCACCATTGAACATGGTCAGAAAACTCCTAGCCTGATAAAGTTTGAATTTTAATTTGTAACTTCGAAATCCAAGAATTGTATTGAACTACCTAACTACATACAATAGAATATGCAGTTAAAGGCTAAATAAATAAGAACTGCAGGGCAGCATAGTGGGGAAAGCTAAAGGTGCATCTACCTCCACGAGATGTAAATGAAAGAATGTAGAGCATAGACAAATCAATCCAAACCAAGCACAAAAGACTAGAGTTTGGCTCATGAAGAAGATAAATATTAGATGGTACTTAAGCTTGATTCATCTTAGTTTGTACCAGACTTTAGACAATTCTAACTACTAATATTTTGAATAATTCATGTGGTACCTGCGAACTGGTTCTTGAAGCTCAGTAATAGGCTTTCCACTCAATGGACATTTAAAATTCAAAATATTAGATTGGGTACTGGTCATTACAATGTCCTCCTCCTCTTCACCTGGCATTGGCTGTCCCTCATGATGCACCTTCTAAACAAAAAGATAAACAAAAAAGCAATTAGACTGTTCCTTGAATTGAATAACAATCTTGAGAAGGAACTTCGAAATATGTCATAATGTCAGTACTCTGTAAAAAACAGCTCTCAGCAGCGAAGAGAACACTCTGAATGAGTGGTAGGTTTCACAGTCATTATTACCATTACTCATTGCATGAGCAACATATTTGAAAAATAAATGATAGTACAATACTTTTATATAAAGTAGGAAAGTTCTGATTGACCAAAAGAGAGAAAAGAAAACAAACTTCGTGTACAATTAGACATATTCAACCACGGATTAACACCAATGAAAACAGGGAGAAGAAAGGGAGGGGTAAGAATCTTCTAACACTTTAGATTGACAAGAAACATACCCATACAGCTTCCTTAAATTGGCGCACTAAAGGATGTTTTTGAACATCTGAATTTCGATTGGCCTTATACTGCAAAATTTCATCCTCAAATACCTTATGAAAATCAGTCAACTGCATATTTGCAACATCAAAAGAAAAGTTAGTTTTTGGATAAATGTAGGGTTAGTGTCATTATAACAAATACAAACACAACAAAACAACTATCATTGATCGTAATAGCGTTTTACATACAGAGAAAAGGACTAATAAGGTCAAACAACTAAGAAAACAGAATGTTAACTAACCTAACTAACCATTTGATATTACACATATCCTCTATAACACTGACACTTAGGAAAAAAAGGTGTGTCAATGTCAGTGTCGACAGCGACACTTGTGATTGTGATTACGTTTAATTTATTCAGTTTTTAAATTTTTATCAATGCCGATGTGTCAGGGTCGTGTTTCTAGTGTTCGTGCTTTATAGCATTTATCCAATAGTTAAATGATAAGTTGATAAGTATTAAGTGATGAGATGATAACCTGTTCTCCAGGTTGGTATCTATTACCAAAAGCTTGAACAGCAGATGAAAAATGCACACTGTGTTCAGATAAGTCAACTAACTCCACAGCAGCATCTTCCATTTCCTTCACCTAAAGTAGTTTTCACTTTTCATTCATGACATGAACAATATTCCAAAACAAAAAACAAAAAATATTAAAAAGAAAAACCTTGTCAGGAAGATTGTCTTTTTCCAATTGAACTGCAATATTCTTCATCACGCCCACTGTTGCTCGTATATCCTAAAGAGTCATTAACAAATTTCTTAAAATTTACTCAGAAACATGAAAAATGCTCCTTTGAGAGGAAACTAATGGTGTGAAATAAAGAAAACCCTAAAAAAAAAAAGGAGGGTGGAAAAAAGAGGGTTTCAGAGTTACCGAAATGAAAGGTTGAATATCGGAACCAAAGGTGGCAGCTAAGTTCTTTATCCGACCAGAAGCGCCGCCGTGTGAAGATGACGCCATGATTCTCCGATGGATTGGTTCCTTCAAAGTTCCGCGAAAGGAGGAATTTGGAGGGAGATATGAAATTGAGTGAGGGTTCACGTGAAAATTGAATTTTGAAATGTATCAAAAGTGCAAGTGAATAATTCATCGTTTAACTTCAATTAGTTTATAAACTCAAATAATAATTGTTTTACAGGTCTTGAATTTTTATCATGTCACTTGTATATTGTTTTTAATATATGTATTGAAAAAATATGTCAAATTCAAAAGAATAATATTTGTAATCTTATATTCCGCTATAATTTATCGAACAATTTACTAAAAAAATCTAAGACATACATAAAACCGCCGTTATTTTTTAACATAAAATTTATTTATCATATAAACCATACAAAAAGAAATTTAATATGGTTTTTAATTTTGTATGATTGAGCGTAATTTTTTAACATTAAAATTTGATTTGGACAATATGACATTTAATAATATTTAATTTGTTGATTTTTTTTTTATAGGTTTGTAATTTTAATTTGAATCCTTTACATCACATATTAGTGATAAAAATATACTTATAAAAAATTTTTAAAAGTCTAAAATGATTTTTTAATTAAAAAAAATATATAACAATTTTGTTCACTTAACAAAAGTTCTCTTAAAAATGGATATTTTTAGTTTGATATAGTTCAAAATTAAGAATTGATATATCGACAATTGTATGATTTAGTTCAGTTCTGAACAAATCAAAATGGTTTGGTTCAATTTTTATAATCTTTTATTATGGTTCAATTCGATAGAGTTATGTTCTTTCAATAAATTATATCATAAACAACCCTAATTGAATTTAATGGACATACACTTGTTAGTGTAAAACAGTTTTACACTGTTGTCTAATACAAAAACAATATATGAGCCCGTTTGTTTTGACTTTTTTTTAAATGATTTTTATAATGTAACATAATTTTGTGAAAAATTTAGTTTGAATAATTATTTTTAAAATGTGATTTTAGATATATCAGCATTTTATCAAAAAAAAATTTGAATATCAAAATTTTAAAAAATCACTCAATTTTGAAGTTATTTCAAATAACTTTTCATAAAAATCATTTTTGAAATACAATTTTTTTTTTAAATTGTGATTTCGACTATGTTTTGATTTTCAATAATATATATTTATGTTGTATGATGTTAAAATTAGTCTTACAATTTAGAAAAAACAAATATAGAAAAAACTTGTAATATTTTAAAAAACGGTTTTACAAAATCCATTTTTAAATATATAAAAATGATTTAAAAGTTAAGTGTGATTTGAAAAAATACACGTCAGTGATTGATTGTCAGTGTAAAAATATTTTATACTGACGGTGCATATCTTATTTTTTCTTTAGTATTTTGCAAGTTTGCATTTAAGAAATTGAATACATATTCATGAAGTATTTTGCATATTCCAAAAGTAGAATCTAAAACTTTTCAACTCATGAATTTCTATTGTATGATCTAGATTGTACCGATAATTTATATGGAATGTAACTCACATAAACTTGTAATGTATAACCCTCATTTGTTTATGATTAATGTTCATGTTACATTTTTTTATCAGAATGACTAATTGAATTGGCATCTTAACCACACCAACACAAGAATAATAATCAATGTTGAGTATTAATGGTCGTAAATTGATGTTGATGCACGTGTTTGTTTCACTAGCATGCAACTTCAAAACGATGATGATATAATGGTCATGTTCTCATTATTTGATCAATATTGTGATTAGTCTTAAGACGTTTGACGAAATCCATGTGCGCACGGAAAAATCCTGCACATGTTAGTCTTGTTATAAATAGCCAGTTTGAAGCTCGAATAAAAGGAGAAAGAGTTATGTTAAACAGTCGTTAGTTAACATGAAACTTTGTTAAATTTCTATGACGGAAATAAAATACATAATAATATGAACTCTAAGTCATTTTTCTTAACAACGCATTATATGACTCGAGTATAGTGTCAAAAGAGCAAGGGTCAGTTCATTGTTGCCTGGATACAATAGAAAATAAGCAAGCGTTCCCACATTGTTATAAACAGACGTGGATAAAGAAGCTAGTTCATGGGAGTATGATCCATTTTAAAACATGGAATATAGGCATGTTTTTTTGGAATAATTATGAAAATAGGGAACAACATGGTTAGGAGGAAGATCAACTTTACGTGCCAACAAAAAACTAAGTGGACGAGTAAAAATTTGAAAGAATTAGACAACTCAGAATTTTTGCTTTGATTCATTGATAAAGTTAAATCGAGAAATGGGGTGAGCATTATTATAGATAGTAAGTGAAAGAAGGATATTTAGGATGTGAACAGAGTAGGAGATCAGATCATTAACCTAAAATTTGTAGTGGAATAAGACACATTTGTTGTTATTAGGCTTACACACATTGATTTACTTGCTCACAAGATCAAAAAGTTTGTAACCCCCAATTTAATGACAACTAATTAAGATCATCTGACTTGATTTGTCATCAATCTTCCTCCTCAATTGATCGGACACATGTCTATATGCAATAAATCAAAACACCTTTAAATGACTCAAGCTTGGTTTGACACCCGACTAACATTCTTCTAGTGTGACTTCTTCTAACCTCTTAGTTAAGCTCATGTTCAATTTGTATGTAGCATTGGACACAACCTCACTCCATAGTTCAATAGGATAATGTGTGTCCTTTAACATGTTTCTCACCATATTCATAACGGTCATATTCTTTCTCTCAACAATCTCATTTTGTTAGGGTGTTTATGATAGCATAACCTCGTGCATATGTCATGTCCTTTCACATAATGCATGAAACTCATTTGACATATACTCACATTCACCACCAGATCTTATAACTTTGATCTTGTGGCCACTTTGCCTTTTTACCATGGACCTAAACTTGATAGACACATTAATTACATCACTTTTCTTTTAATCAAGTATGTCCATAATTTTCTGCTAAAATCATATATGCTTGTGACAACATACTTGTTGCCTTTATTTGAATCAACTTGAATAGGACACACATCAGAGTATATGAATTCAATAGTAGCTCTAGACTTGTTTCCTACATCTTTGTTGAAGTTGTTATTGTGTTGCTTGGGTTGTACACATTCTTCACACACTTTACTATGGATATGAATTTCAAGCAATCTAGAAACCATATTTTGCTTCTTCAGGCTACTGATATCTCTAAAGTTGAGATGATCAAACCTATAATGCGGTAGTCATTCATTTCTGCTAGCTGAAGTTGTTTGACACTTATGCTTCAACACATTAAGTTTAATCTTGAAGATCCTATTATGTGGCATAGGTGCCTTCAAGACCAATCTTTCACTTGAGTCATTAACTCTCATCGGCTTGTCTTCTATCAACAATATATAGTTCTTCTCAATCAATTGAACACTGCTGAATAGGTTACTCTTCATACCATGAATATATAGCACATTTGAGATCAATGACTACTTGTCATCTTTTTTCATAATCAAGACATTATCAATGCCTTATGTTGCTAATGTGTTATCATTTGCAAAATTCAATTTGTTCTTCATTGAACACCCTGAATCCAAATATCATTAATCTTTTTATCTTTCTTCTTACTTTGTTATTATCATCAACAACACATCCTCATTTTCTTGCTTTGCTAGTTTTGCATCATCATATTGACATTTCTCGCCCACATAAAATTCATCAGCATAATGACCATATTTTTGACAATTGTAATATTGAATGTTACTCTTGTCAAACTTCTTTCTCCCACTTCTACCTCAATCGCTACCATCACCTCTATGTCCGCCTTAATCGTTACTTTGTTTCTGGCTTGATGAGCCAACTTCTTACTTATAGTTTTTACCATTTGAATTGTTGTGTCCACCTCTGCCTTTGTTTCCATTTCACTTTTCGTTACCTTTTTATCTTTCTTTGATTGTGTATGCAATGCAACCTCTGATTTTGCCTAACTTGTTGTTCTCTCCACCATTTTTTGTTCATGTGATTCAAGAGGCCCTTGCAATTCTTCTTTTGTTAAACTTGTCAAATCTTTGGACTCTTCTATGGCCACCACGATATGATCAAACTTAGGAGACAAAGATATCAAGATCTTTACAACTACATACTTGGTTGATATCACCTCGCCACACACCTTAATTTGATTCACAAACTTAGTCACTATTGTAAAGAAAACACTTATACTTTCGGTTTATTCCATCTAAAGCAACACATACAACCTCGTGTGAGTTTGTAACTTCACCTCCTTCAACTTCTCCTTCTCAGTTCCAATATGTCTCATGCTTCCTTCGATGAATCAACGTCTACAACCTTCTCAAAATTGTCTAGCTCAACACACTAGTGAATTATAAATAGGGCTTATAATCTTTTTTTCGATTCTTTATGCGTATTCTTCTAATCATTTGTGGCACAATCACTAACTGGTGTAACACCATTCTTCACAAGATCCCACACATCTTGATAGCAAAACACTATTTTCATCTGCTTGCACCAATCATCGCAATTCTTGCCATTTAAAATGGAAAGATTTGTCAGAAAATGACTATTTGGATAGGAAGTCATTGTTCAAGATTATCCAAAAACAGAACCAGATGCTCTAAATACCAAATGTTGGAACAAAATTCAAACACTCAATCACACAAGCACGTGAAAGATGCACACAAGTTTGCTTCACAACTTTGTTCTCATACACACTTTGCACCTTGAATAAGAATGAATAAATGAAATAGATAAAGATTAAGAATAAAAAGTGAAACACACTTGCAGTAACTCTTTAATGATCACAATACAAGAGTATTTATGGTTGTGACTTCCACTACAAGGCATCATCAAAACTCTAACTAACCACACTTCTCTAACTGTCATAACTTGTTAAAAAAATTGATTAAAAAAATTAAGTTAGGCTCCGGGGATTCACCAGGATCAGTGCAGGCCTCAAGACTCAAAGAATGCTTATAATTACTTACTTGTATTTCAACTAACTACAAGTGAGACACTAATGAATTACGCTCAAGAGAAGTGTGAGCAATGTCAAAAAAGTATTTCTCCAACACTATTTTTTTTAATATTTTACCAGACTCGCTAAATTGATTAATCATACCTTTAGAATTAATAAAGAGACTGAATGAGTTAAGCAAAAGCAAGTATTCGTTGATGTTATCATTACTTTAAGTGAGTTGAGCAACCAAATTAAGTAGAAATTTCTGATAAAATTAGAATAATAAAATATATAAACAATAACATCTAGTGTTGCAAGCACTTTTCTTGATGTTCCTCTCACAAAAAGACAATCTTTTTCGTTCACAGGGGACAGTTTTTTATGCCCTTTCAAAATTGCTAGTGATAGTTATGCTACATTTTTAGTAAAGAACAATAGGAACAATGCTTATAGCTTTTACCTAAGTTTTATCCTTATTCAAAACTTAAGCCTATACCTGTTCCCTAATTCTACATTGCACTATCTTTTGTTCTAGATTCATGTCACCTTTTTCATTGTAGGAGCTACCTTCTTTATCAGAGCAACTTGAATCTCCAAAAGGCAAGTGGGCCATTGTTTCTTTGATCAACTGACTATCCTCCTCTGACCAAGGAAGGTCGGCTTGCAGGGGTCAACTTCCGAAATGCAGCATGCAGTATCACTCCTACATGTATATGTTTTAAGCAAAAGCTTAAAAATCGAATAATAAGAGGAATAAGGTGTGAGAATTGAGAACAAATATAGACTCACCTGCATAGCTGACACTTATGGCGCAGAAGAGAGCCATTTGAACATTGGAAAATATTAGAATAACTGCTGTTGCTGCAAAAGATGAGATTCAGAAACATGAGTTTACAGTTAACCTTATGAACATCATCAAGCTACAGATGTCTTTCCAGCATCCACAAGCAAAGCACCACACATATTTAAAAACAAAAGAAAACATAAACAGAAAACAGATGTCATAGGCAGCACATGCCCATTAGATGCTATTGTTTTATTACATCCTCAATAAGGCTACGGCAAAATCCGCAAGAAAAAACATGTTTTGTGTTTGTAAAGCCAAAAGAAAACTAGTTCATATGTGAAGAATCAAAGGCCACGAGGTAAAGGGATTGAAAGCTTGAGAGAAAATAATTCTTCAAGAGTAACATATTTCATTAAAAGATAATGAATTGAGTTGATATAAATGTATTTATAGAGATGCAAACAACAAAGTAAAACCAGCTATACCAATTAATTGTAAGTTGTAACAGAATCACGACTAACACAAACTAGCAATTATTCCTCTATTATCATCATACTAAGGTGATAAAAAGAAGAAACCAATATAATAAAACTAAAACAGAATAAGCCAGATAATATCCTCCTATAAGAAATTACTATTACTCACCAAATTGGGCAATGCGAAGCAAGCACTGCCGAATGACAGGATATTGATCCAATCCCCATCTCTCACTAAAGAACTTGAAGAAATCCCACAATGCCAAACATGATATCAACCCAACAAGAGCAAGTGGCATCTTATACCTGAAACCATCAAGGACAAAAAACACAGTTTTATACACAAACAATCATAATGTAAGAAATCACCAATTAACTCTAAAATTGTAGGTATAATAATATAAACAATTTCATCCTCAAAATTAACTCTACTTCAAAATAACCCCTATAATTGAAACCATCAATCACATTAGTCCTATATAGTAATCAATTCAGTACCTGAAATTGTCAAAAAGTGATTTTTTTAAAATTCAATTTCATGTTGGAACAACAAAGAGATTAATTGACTAAGAAAAAGAATGAAGAGGGTGCTTACAGTGAAGAAGCAAAGAAAAGCACGAAGAGATAAGCGTAATTACGAGCATAGCGCTTAACGTTTTCGTGAACACGGAAGCGAGCTTGTGATGGATTAGAAGGAAAGGAATAGGACGAAGGGGAGCCGACGAAGGAGCGTGACCAGGAAGGAGTATCGCCGGTGAAATCATCGGCGGTGAGTTTGGCGAAGGGATTGAGAGTGAGGAAGGATAAGAGGGTTAGAAGTCGGGAGGAGATGGAAGTGACGGGAACTAATGGGGAGGAGTTGGAGTCAACGGTGGTGGTTGCTTCGGCGGCGGCGGTGGTGCGTTGGTCGATAATTTCGAGGTAGCCGGTGTCGCGAAGCCATGATTCGAAGGCGGGTTCGGGAACGCTTAGCGCGAAAGGGTTAGAAGAAAACACCATCGCTATTATTCCCTCTTTGCTAACAAACGCTATTGTTGCGATATGCTCCTTTTCTTTTTTGTGTACTTAATCATTCTTTTTCTTTTTGAGCTCAAAATTAAATTTGCAAAACAAATTTGATTTGAGATTAAGAATAAGATGATGTTTCTAATTATAATATCATGAAAATTTCAAAGTATGACTCTCATTATTATTTTAAAAATTATAGCTGAATATTTTTTATGCATAAATGAATATCATACTATTTTGAATAATTTTAAAATAAAATATCATATATAAGTTATATTTGTAAAAAATATATTTTTATATTATTTAAAAGATGATAAAAATATTAACAACTCTATTGGTTATAGAAATTTATATTCAACATATAACATAGTAAAATAGATGTTACAAACTTAAAATATGATATTGCACTATTTATTCGTATTACCTTTTTTTTTTAATTAGTGAAAACTTTTAAAAATATGAATTTTACAATTTAAATTCCATATTAAAAAAATTATTTTCTTATATTTTCTTTTTCTCTTATATATAAAGTTTACTAAAATAAAGGATATTCAAGATTTTTAAAATATTATTTTTTTATAAAAAAAAATATACGCTAGGCCAGTATAGCATTAATTAAAAAAATTATTTTAATTTTTCTCCTAAATTATAAACTGTTTAGACCTTTTTTGAATTATTGAATTGAGTTGTTCATAAATTTTGATTAAGTCAAATTCAATCTAAAAAAAAGTTCAAATATTTTAAAGTTGAATTTTGAAATGAATCAATTTTGATTAAATTCAACTGAATTTGACTTAACTCAACTCATTTTTAATTTTATATATATATATATATATATATATATATATATATATATATATATATATATATATATATATATATATATATATATATATATATATATATATATATATATATATTGATCTGACCTGATCAGGAGGGGATCACGGGCTGGCCACGCGCTGTTGGGCTGCTACCTGTTCACCGGTGATGAAGAGGAGAACGGGGGTGTACCTGCAAGACACTCCGATGCCAAAGTAAGAAATCGGACAGAGTGAGGGCAAAGTACAGAAAGGGCAAGATGTGAATTACCTAACCCTCTTGAGGAAGAGGGTATTTATAGAGAGACCCCAGCGCTGGGCCAACGGTCATTTGAGATGGGCTGACTGACCAGGCCCAACCCTAATGACTGCTAGGGCTTACGTGGCGTAGTGAAGACCAGGGTGTGGTCTTTGCCCTAGTGCAACTACTCCTAGATCTCCGGAAAGTGGGTTTGACCTGCTCCTTCGGAGGTGGGCAGTTGGTTGATGACGTGTCCCCGCGGAGGGGAGCACGTGGAGAACGTGCGCCGGGCACGTTGTTCTCCCCGCGGAGGGGAGCTTGGGAGGTACCCCGGAGCGCGTTGTTCTCCCCGCGGAGGGGAGAAACCACGGTCGTGCTTTGATGCGTCGGGGTCTGTTATGTCCGGCTGGTAAGAGGGGACGACGAGATGCTGTTGGATGCGCTGCTTGTGTCTGGTGGCACGCTCTGCTCGTCTTGCGGGACGCACGTGCCCGGCGTGCCCGATTCGCCCGTTGGGCCGTACGTGGTATTGGGCCTGCCGAGGTCGGGCCCATACCGGAACAGGAGCCCCCCAAGTCGAAGCTTCTGGGAGAGAGCGAGGACTTAAGGTCGTTGTGTCGGGGAGAGAGGTAACGAAACGGGAGGTTCGCCGGGACTCGTGCACGGTGGGACGGGCACTCGTGCGGGGATCTCCGGTCGTCGGCGGAGCGGGGTGAAAGCAGGTGAAGGGGCGCGACCGTCAGGATGCCGCCACGTGTCGTGCGTTAAGCGGTCGTAGGGGCGGCTACCCTATGTCATTAATGAGCCTAGCGTCGCTTCAAATCCCGCACCGGGTTATAAATACGGGGGTCCCCGCTCATTTTATTACTTTTCACTCTGCTGTTGTACCTGCGAAGCTCTGTCATCTCTGCTCGTCCGCCGCTTGTCGCCGATCGCCGCCGCACCGTTTGATCCTTTCCTCCGTTCGCCGCCATTACAAGTGGGTTTTCATTTCTCTTCCCTTTTATTTCCGTCGTTTAATTAGAACGTGTGGTCGGGGCATGATGAATGCCCCGAGGAAGGATGCGAGACCCGCCGTATCTGGCGAATTTTCTGATGAGTGTCCCGGGGATAATCGGCTGTTCCGATGAATGTCCCGAGGACGGGGGCTTTCTCCGATGAATGCCCCGGGGACGAGTGCCTTTTCCGGTGAATGCCCCGGGGAGGCGCGCTTTTTCTGGTGACCGTCCCGCGGAGGGATGGCGGGTCGACTTTAGACGCCCCGAGGAGGGTAGACGGGGAGCGTGTGTTTGCTCGCCATTTTCCGGCCTTTGTCGCCCTTTCACTTGACCTGCGGTGGAAGGGTGGATTTGATCCTGGCTATCGAATTCACCGTTGTCCTCTGCTTTTCAGATGTAGATGTCGGCTCTGGTACCGGGGATAATGGTCGAAGACAACGAACCCGAGGTCCCGGACTTTGATGACGAGCGCATCGCCCCATCCGAAGAATGGGCGGCTGAGGAGCCGCTGTCTACCCCGTCTTGTTTTGTGGCCGATGCGTCCGACGTGTACGCCACCGTCGAGGATACGCCTATCGGGGAGCCGCAGCATTGGCAAGTGTACCGACCGAAAGAGCATCATCGCATCTGCTCGCGATATGGGCGGCGGATGTTCCCCATGCACGAGTTCTACTTTAAAGAGGCTCGGCTCCGGTTACCGTTCTCCGCCTTTCATCTGGGGCGCTTTGATTGGTTGCGCTTGGCCCCGTCCCAACTGCATCCCAACGCCTTGGCTTTCATCCGCGCCTTCGAGGTGGTGTGCTTCTACCTCGCGGTGGAGCCGACGGTACCGTTGTTTTTCCGTATCTTCCACTTACAGCGGCAGACGGTGAATGGCCGCCACGGATGGGTCTCCTTTAAACAATCGACCAAACTTTTCAAGGCGTACAGTGATTCCGTCAAGGATTTCAAAAGCCGGTTCTTCCTCGTTAAACCGATCACGCAACAGGGCTCGGATACTCTCTTCGACGAGGGCGAGCGAACGGTAGATGGCCAGCGGTTCCTCGCGTGGCTTCCTAAGATACATCTATTGTGGACTGCAGAGCATTTCAACCGAGGAACGGATAGGTATATCGTACGGGCGGGGACCCTCGAGGAGAAAGACATGGCCGCCTATTTGAAAATAGTCGCCTTTGTGCGGTCTCTTCCTCCGTCGAAGCTGGTGACGCCCGACGGTCGGTATATCCTTGACGCGCAGGGGAATGTGCAAACTAAGAAGCGTCTGATTAATACCAAGACCCTGCTCGGTTGTGCGACCGGGGCGGCCGCTCTGGATTATCTAGGTAGGAATGTTCATTTTCTCCCCGTGGTCGGGGCTTTGGCTGTCGCTAACTCTTTCTTTGTTTTTGCAGCGAACATGTCTTCTGTCGAGGAGCGGGTGAAGCAGTTGCGCGCTACCAGGAATGCTGCGGTCCCGAGGACGCGGGTGAGTCAGCTGGTAGGACAGGAGGTCGCGACGCCGGAAGGGCAGAGTTCGTCTTCTTCGCCTCAAGGGAGTCAGTCTTCTACGTCTCAAGGAGCATCGAAGAGGCAGAGGTCCGAGGAGCCCCGAGGTGTGGTAGATCTGACGGTCGGTTCGGCTGAGGAAGGTTATGTCGTCCCGCCCTGCCACCAGCATCCGGGCTATTTTCATGGTGCTCGTTCTCCTACCGTCTCCGCTGGGGAGGTGAAGGTTGTCCGTCAGGCCGATCGAGAGTCTCGTCGACGTGTCCTGGCGGAGGACTTGGCTGCAATGATGCGGACGTTCATGACGGCTCTTGTGCTGAACGAGGAGGGCTGTTCCGCTGCCGAGTTGTCTAAACTGCAAGGGGACCTTACCTTTATGCAGTCGCGATTGGCCAAGCTTACTGAGGAATTGGAGAAGAGTTAGAAGGATGTTGCTGAGCAGCGAAAACGGGCAGAGGGCGCTGAGGGGAAGGTGACCTTGTGGAGGAGAAGCTGGGGGAGGCGACGACCGAGGTGCAGGCGCTGAAGGTTCGCACGGAAGTCTTGGACAGCGCAGTTCGTCCGGCCTAGGACGAGACAGATGGAGATCGACGGTTAATCACTCGTGCTGACCTGATTGCCCGAATCTGGGTGTTGGAAGGTGACTGTTTGGAGGCTGTCGAGGTCGGATTCAAGAGCGCTGTCGAGCAGATTCAGGTCGCCAACCCCGGCGTTGCGCTGGTCGTGGATGGGATCGGGCCGTATCACGAGATCGTTGACGGGAAGGTGGTCGATCCATATCTTGTTGTTCCTGAGGAGGATCCCGCGGTTGCTGATCAGGCGGATGAGGTAGCATGAGTTGCCGGGCCTGCGTGCTCGTTGTTTTTATGGCCTGCGTGCTGACATTTGTGACTTATCTTTCTTTGGGCATGCGTGCTCTGTTTTTGTAACATTGACTACTAGGCTGGTGCCCGCTTTTTGCTTAATATATTTTTTGTGAATTTTCTAAGTGTGCGCTCGGTATTCGCATGATGTTTATGCTTGTTTTTTGTATTTATTTGTTTATTTGAATGCTTTTGACGTGTGTGTCTCGATATGCCCTGGGTCTGTTCGGGTGTTAGCTCGACGACTTGTTACCGGTGGTGAAGGGAACCGGCCGGTTTGGCCGGCGACGTAGCCGGGCCGTTTCGGGGGTAGTTCTCCCCGGGGCGTGGACGTCCCATCGCGAGCTGGGTGTCCTGCCGATTTTGGTACGGCGGCGGGGGATCTCGGTCGAGGTGTTCCTTGCCGAGCAAGGCCGTCTGCCCGCGCACACGAGAGGCAGGGCTTGCTTTTCTTTGGTTGCTAGTGGACGCGGGGGTGTGCGGTGGTACCATGTCGCCCCCCCTGTGGTCGGGACGATGGGTCGTCGCGGGCAATGTTCTAACTGTAGTACTGCTTAAGCTTTGCGGCGTTCCATGGTCGAGC